CCAGTAGGGAGAGGGGAGTAGCCAGTGTTTGGTGGACGGTGAGGAGGGTACGTGGTCGGGTACGGTGGCTGTTGGGAAATGCTGGAGAATGGAGGCGCTGACGGTTGGCAGTCGTGGGTCAGAAACTTTCCTTCGTACTCTCGCAAGACGTTCAGAGGTTCCACTAGGTTCATGAGATTGAAAATGGCGTGGAGAAGCTCGGTGTCGTTGGGCAAAATACGACCAGACTCTTTTAGAAATTGGAATAGTTTCTGTCCTGTGTCGCTCTTTTCTTTCTGGGATTCCTTCAATGGACTGATGGCTTTGATGATCTCGAAATCAGATTGGCATAATTTCAGACCCATTTCATGGAGCGAACTGTTGAAGGCCCACATTTGATCTTTGCCTACTGGTCTAGCACCGTTGCATTGGACCGGGGCAGACCGCTCGTTGTCAATGTACCTGTGAGTATCTCTAAAGGTGCGTACGGTTTCGGAGAGTTGCTCAGCGTCGCTCACGTTCTCCAGTAGTTTCAGACATGTCTCGAGGAACTCTGAGTGGTTCCCATGCCTTCTCCTGAGCTTCACGAGCATGTCCACAGGGCTCGACACGAGCCCCCTGTCCCACGGGTCGAAGTCTGACTTTCCCAGCATCTCGTCCATCTGAGTTTTCGTTATACCCCTGGCTAGTGTAGCCACTAACCTCTTTACAGGACCCAGCTTCATGGCGATCGGCTTCTTGCAGTTTGAAGGGAAAGCCCCCGGGATTTGTTGTATTTGCGCATGCGCGAATTGAACAATATTGAAAAAGGCTTTCACTAAATTAGATCGCCATTTGGTGTGCGCAAAAAGGAGTCAGATGGCAGACTGTTTGACGCTCCTGCGACAGTATAACCTGCAGAAGAAGGAGATAGTGGAACGAGATGGACTAATCATATTCGACCAGACCGCTTGGCCCGGGAACGCCAAGACCAACTACCCCTCCTACAGGTAAATTCGTCGGGATCACGTGATGAGCATATGGACCCTCCCACGCAGGTCTGGGCAGGCGGGTCTGAAGGAGTACTACACTCTAGAGTCTCTGCTGTTTCTCCTGAAGAATGTCAGTCTCTCTCACCCAAGCTACGTTGCCAAGGCTGGGGTTAGTTATTTACCATTACATCATTACCGTTGAGGGGGACTTCCCCATTTCCGATCGTCCAGCTGTTTCTCAAGTGATTGAAGGAATAGCGCAAACCTCTCCACCCTCTCTTCGTGTAATTTGATACGTTTCTCCTGGTCACCCTCATGGGCAACAACTTCACGTTTGTAAGCTTCTTTCTGTGAGGCTGTCATATTATCTGGTGGCTTTATCTGTTCATACTCTCCTGGATTTTTTGGGTAGATCAGCAAAACCTTTTTCTTTCGTGATGTGTTTGATGTAGTACTGAGCGTTGATGCCCCATTATTTTGTAGAGGAGTTATGACCTGAAATGTGCTCTGTGCAAAAGTTAAAAATGGAATAGTAACTAAAATTTCTCTATGGACGTTTTAACGTACGCCTTGAAGATCCTGAGGCAGTGGTGGTAGAAGCTGGGAGAGAGCGGGAGCTTTGATTGGGAGCATCTGTGAAAACATCCTCTCCTTGAGTATGCATATACAAATGACACACACTGACAACTACAGTAACCCTCGCTGCGCATGCGCATAGTCTGTTCTGCTGTTGTCTATGCAAAATTTGCTCACAGGTCTCAGTGGCTTTCATGCTCGCTTTGTATAATCTGTCCTGTTGTTGTTGCCTATGCAAAGTTTGCTCGCAAGTTTCTGATGCTCTTTGGCTAGCTTTACACAACTTATTTTTTAGCTTGTGTCACAGATTTTACACTGTCTGATTGTAATACTCGTGTTCGTTTCATAGTTTTGTCAGGAAATTTACACTCGGCTGCTCGTTTGGATCGAAAAACATGATCACAGCTCTCACACACTTTCCGCCTTATATGTACAACAGCTTTACATTGCGGACATACCTTAGTTGGAGGCATACTTACTGAACTCAACCGTCTTCTCAGTCTAGGTCTAGTGTCACAGAGAAATGAGGGAAAACAAAATGGCTGCTGGCCACGTGGTCCCAATCAGCGAGCGCTGCTTTGGCCGCCTGCCGCCTCGGAGTCGCGTGCGTTTTGGTGTGTACACACATGCGCGTTGTTAAAATGGCCGCCCTTGCCGTACTGTACGAACAGGAAAACGCTCTAGCTCTGCAAATAAGCAGTTTCAGAGAAAATCCCACATATTATCTGACCTCCGTCGGCCGCTGGGTATGTAAACCCGTTTTGGACGCGATCTATGACTGGAGAAGTGAGTTATCACTTGAATGAATGAATGAATGAATGAATGAATCACTTAACGAATGAAAAGCACTGAAGTGCAAACCCTCGGCGCATTGTGACGCGCACGCGTGAGTAAACGCATGTGCTGTATCGCTAATCGATGGGCTGGGTTTAGTTTTAGCTGTTACTCGTGATCTCTTGCCAGCTCTCGCAGAGTCTGACGCGGGCTAACTACACTACTAGATAGCATGCGAGAGGCGATACACGCCCTGCGTTGCATCTTCTGGTGCCTCCGAGGTACGCAGAGCACGCGGGTCGATCATGCTGTAGTAAGCCCGTTGTGTATTTGCATATTGGCTTTTTCGCGCTATAGCTCTGCAACGAAGCATTTTCAGAGAAAACCCCACATATTTTCTGACCTTCGTCGCCCGTTGGGTAGATGGTATCGTTTCTGGGACGAACAGACATTCGAGAGGTGAGATGTAGAGTAACAGACAGACACACGGACGGACAGACCCAACTACTGTAACCCTCGCTGCGCATGCGCGCCGAGGGTTAATGAATGATGAATGAATGAATGACACACACGACAACTCCAGTAACCCTCGCTACGCATGCGTGCTGAGGGTTAATAACCTTCCCCTCTGCCACCACCAGCGATCGTCTTAGAAGGTGGGGGACAGATACTCATCATATTGACAGAATTTTGCGATCTTGTACACTTCATTGTTGTCCATCAATCTTCAAGCAATTCGGATGAAGTGTGTAATTGTGGCTCGCGTGTACCTCCACTGGACCTATTGCACTGGTGGGCCATCTTGTAACAGTCGCAATCGAGCTTGGTATCAAAGGTGTTTTAGCGAGGGTATTCACACTTCCTGTTGGTGAAGATCATTGCAACATAACATAATAAAATGCGACGAGCAATCATTTGTGACTGTGGTAGTTCCAATAAGGATGAGACTCCCTTTGTTTAACGTTGTGTATACTTGTCATTTAACGAGGTGTTTCTATGTTTACGTTAGCAATTGTTGCCTTTCCTCTTGTGGATTATGGTTTGGGCATATTTTGCAGCAACTTCGACAGACGGTGTGGAGTACCGTTGCTGCACAAAATGTGTTTAATATTACTCCCGGGTGGAAGAGGGACACTCCCGGGTGTAGGAGGGACCTTCCTGAGCTTCTGCACCAAACTCCAGTGTCCTGACAGAGTCGACTTTGTACAAGTTCGTGTCGTACTTAGCTGATGAACCTTTGCAGTTCCGTACCATTAAAGTTATGGCGTGAAAACCAAGTGAACAAGCCAATATGTAAATTAGCACAGGCTTACCCCGACCGCATCCGTTCGCTCTGTGTGTCTTGAAGGCACAACAAGTCACAACGAAGGGCATGTATCGACTCCCGCATGCTATTTACTACTGTAGCTAGCCCGTGTCAGACTCTCCGCGAGCTACTAGCGGGATACCACGAGTAAAGGATAAAAAGCCCAGCCCATCAATTAGTGGTACCGCACATGCGCAGTTCGCCGAGGGTTTGCACTTTAGTGCTTTTCATTTTGAACAGTGTCCCTGAAAATAAAAACCTTTTCGTAAAGACGTACGTGACTTTTTGAATTAAATATATACTCTATTGACGGGATGTGTATTAACTGACAATAAAACAGTGGATTTCCATAAATTGAATTCCCTGATATCATAGCACTGTTGTTTGAAAATAGTATAGGGGTAATGGGAAATAACTCCTTGTGAACAAATTGTGCCTTATTTTCAATTAAGAATTGTATTGCACATATAGCAGTGACAGCTGATCCAGTATTTATGTATATGGCACCTCCTTCTCGAGAAGCTGTGTTCCTTGTAAATCTGATAGTAGAACCATTGTCAATAAAAAGAATAGAGTGGTCAATCAAGTTCAGAGCACCACCTCTGAAACCACAATTATCCTCAAAAATGATTCTACCACTGAGGGCTAAATTTGTTGCCACTGGCAAAAACGCACTCATGCCGTTATTGTAAAAGTGGCAGCCCTTTCCCTGTGTCCCTACAACTGTGACATTGGTTATGTGTCCAAATAGTAATACACCACCATTCTCAGGAGATCTCTTCCGAGGTAATATCTTCGGAAAAGGTATTGCCTGAGGCCACAAGGTCCTGAAGAATAACATGTACTTCTTTGGCCGAAACAATAAAAGACTCAGACTGAATGATGTATAAAGCTGGGCATACAAAAGCAACATTGCCTGTCAAAGTTGTATCCCTGACCACTACTCCAATATCAGATACGTTTTGTGATGTTATATAAATGAAGATGGCACCACCAAAGGCTGCTGAATTGCGACTAAATGCAGAGCTAACTATCTCCACCATAATATTCTCATAATCTTCATGTAATTGTGGATAGGAATTTAGGGAGTCTGTAAACAGAACTTCTATGATAGCCAGACCTGCACCCTACCCCATAAACCTTGACATGTATTGTCACTGAATACTAATCCTATTAGCCGAGTTTTGCTCATGCGAATTGTATTATAGTACATCACAACAAAATTAGCTAGGTTTCCTGTGCTTGTGAGAATCACAGTATTGGTGACTTTTGTGTCAACAAAGAAGCCCCTCTGGCCAATATAGACAGCTATAGAACATCCCCCAGTCAAAGAAATACGCTGTGTGGCAAACCCAAAAGAAAATGTGTTTGCTTGAATAAGAATGGGTATTAAGTTTGTGTTGTTAAGAAATGAGCAGCCACTTATGGAGAGAGAGACTGTAAAATTGCCTCTTTTATCCATCCGCTCTGTAATGTCTGTATCACTAAAGATGAATACAACACCACTATCCTGAGCACACAGCTGTCCTCCTCTTCAAAAGGTGGTAACATCCACTGAGACTCTGGCTGTGGTTCCAGATACTGATTAAAGTTTGGATAGCAGTGTGTGCCACAGTGGGTTTAATGAACAGCATACCAAAACCCAAAGCACCTGTCAATGCTAACATCTCAACTGCTAGGTTAGTTGAGTCACTACTGCTTTCTGCAGTGGACCAAAGATATGCAAAGGTACTGTTAACGTGACCAGGTAATCCACTGGGTACCTCCTACCACAATTGATAATTTGGAGGTGGGGAGAAGAGGACGAAGGCTGGAGAGGTTTGAAGAATTTGAGAAAGGGACGCTCTCACCCTTCCGCTTACCTGCTTCGAATTTGGTCCCCCCACTTTGTTCTACCACTGGGGTGATCTCCAGTTGTTTGTTCACCTTGCAATTTTCCCCTTCCGTCTTCCATATACTCTTCCTTTAACGCCCTACACGCCTCCCCACTACTTCCCCCCCTCCCTTGCAACCTTCATATCTCCCCTTACTCTTGCGTCTCCCCGCCTTCTTCTTCACTCCCTGTTTTTAAGCCCTAATCACCACCGCCCTCTTACCCTATCACGACCAACGCTCCTGCATTTCCCCCCTTTCCCACTCGCCCGCCTCCGTCATCCTCCTCTCTCCCCCCCCTCCCGTCCCTGTTCCATCTCTACCCTCTTCCAATTCTTCACACCACCCCCCTGATTATTAGCCGTTCTCAACTCAAGTGTCACCTGACAGAGATGACAGTCCTGGCTGGGGTTCTGCAGGGCCTGAATTGTGATATTCTGGAGGATTCTGGAGGACACAGAAGGGACCCTCATCGAGGTATAGGGACACCCCTGAAGAGCTAGGGGATAGTGTCTGAGACCAGTTCCATGGTCCCCAGACCACACGTTGTGGAGTGGCTGGAGACTGGTTGTTAGAGTATGGTGCTGCGCTGGAATCTTCGTGATAGTGGCTAAAGGTTTGGTTATACGCCAGAGTAAATA